GGGCCAGCTGTGCATGTTGCTGTGTCCATGGGGCCCGCTGTGCGTGTCGCTGTGTCCCCGGGGCCAGCTGTGTGTGTCGCTGTGTTCACAGGGCCAGCTGTGCGTGTCACTGTGTCCATGGGGCCAGCTGTGTGTGTCGCTGTGTTCACAGGGCCAGCTGTGTGGGTCACTGCATCCACGGGGCCAGCTGTGCATGTCGCTGTGTTCACAGGGCCAGCTGTGCAGGTCACTACATCCACGGGGCCAGCTGTGTGTGTCGCTGTGTTCACGGGGCCAGCTGTGCGTGTCGCTGTGTTCACGGGGCCAGCTGTGTGTGTCGCTGTGTTCACGGGGCCAGCTGTGTGTGTCGCTGTGTTCACGGGGCCAGCTGTGCGTGTCGCTGTGTCCATGGGGCCAGCTGTGTGTGTCACTGTGTTCACGGGGCCAGCTGTGCGTGTTGCTGTGTCCACGGGGCCAGCTGTGTGTGTCACTGTGTTCACGGGGCCAGCTGTGCTTGTTGCTGTGTCCACTGGGCCAGCTGTGTGTGTCGTTGCATCCACGGGGCCAGTTGTGTGTGTCACTGCATCCACGGGGCCAGTTGTGTGTGTCGCTGCGTCCACGGGGCCTGCTGTGTGTGTCGCTGTGTTCACAGGGCCAGCAGTTCGGGTCACTGCGTCCACGGGGCCAGCTGTGTGTGTCGCTGTGTTCACGGGGCCAGCTGTTCGGGTCACTGTGTCCACGGGGCCACCGGTCACTGTGTCCATGGCCTGCTGGTGCTGGTCACTGTGCTTTGGAACAAGGGATGATCAACTTGTTCTGTAGGGAGTTAGATGGTAAATATTTTAGGGTTTATGAGCCATACGGTATCTGTTGAAACTATCCAGCTCTAGTGCAAAAGCTGGCTAGGAAACTAGCAATGGGGACGGCTGGGTGGCAGTCAGGCTTCACCTGCCGCACCAGGCCGCCAGCTGGATGTGGCTCACAGGCCATAGTTTGCTGACTCCTGCTTTATAAAATGAACTAAGCGTTAGTTAAACTGGGGTATCACTCAGAAGACGGTTAAAGGGACTTCTCTGTCTCTGAAGAAACTAGAGTAACAAACTCTTTGTTCGGAATTCAGTGGGAAATAGAAGAGAAATTTAATTCCACAACAAATAAATATTTTTATTATGTCACTCTAAAGAATACAAATTATAAGAAATATTTTGCAAATATTAGGCAAAAGAAGTTTAATTGGCTTGGGGGAATAAAGACATATTTATAGAGAAAAATAGGTTTATATCTGTGGTAATCATTATCCCCAGTATTATATACAAAAGAGCCTATAACTTATTATCCTGGAAAAATCAAGATGTGTTAACAACCAGAGGAAAAATCATAGTGCAGCATATTTTGTCATTGCATGCTAAGGGCTTCACGTGATTATGGCCTGCTAAGAGAAAAGAATTACAGGAGAGTCCCAGTCTTCGTGCTAGGGTTCCTCAATCTATAATCAAATTCACCACCCCATAAAAATTGGGAATTCTTAAAACCTGTGGTTTGCATTATTGGTAATGTGGCCACTTGCAGTTCGATTCTGCACCTTCAAAATGCATTCAGAGAAACTCAACCCTCGACAGTGAGACTCCTCTGGTGCTTTGTCCAGAGCACCGGCCCCGTACTAATAAAGTATTTATCACCCTGACAGTACAGTTTCATAGTCTCCAGTTCCTCCCTGTAAAAGTTGACAGGTCACTTTAGAGCTTAAAGGATAAATCTTTTTTTTATTATTGTGGAATATTGCCAGGGAGTAATCCCCTACTCTAGCCAACTTTCTTTTGTAGAGATGTGTTTTATTGGCCATTTATGCAGAATAAGATTGAAATCAGATTGCATCATATACTGCATGCCGTCTTTATTTTACCGTGACTGAATAATCAGCTGTGCTAAAGCAATTATCTTTCCGTCTCTTGGGACATGTGTTTAATTAAAAAGCAACTGACTCAGAGTTCGGAGTTTTCAGACGTAGTTTGATTTTTCCGCTTCCATATGGTATTAAGATTTAGCCACAAAAACTTGCCAAATGGCAATGCTGTATGCCCATCAGACCTGGACTCTGTATTGGGAAGATTATAGAGAAATCATGTTAAATGGGTTAGGATGGTGCGGGGACCATGTACATGGATTTGGGCATGTTTTCCCTTTGTGATAGGACATTAAAAGCACAAATGAGCTGGGTAACTGAGTAGTGGGCTTGTAAAGCTCCTTCCCAGGGAGGGGCCGTGGCCTTTGTCGAGGAACACGGCAGCACCGGAGACCTCTGGCAGCTCCAGTCTCTTCCCAGCCTCCAGCTCTTGCCCGTTCTCATTGGTTGAGCCTCTGAATGTCAAAAGTCACCTACAGCCCAGACATGATCCTCAACTTTCTGTTGGTGCCTTGACTTAAACACCATTTGATGGCACCTGGATTTGGATTGCCAGCCTTGCCCACCTTCCTGGGCATCAGATTCGTGCATCCAGCGGACTCCTGGGCCTCTTGAACCTGTCAACCCCACATGCAGCTCTCCCACCCACCTGCCTTCACCTTCATCACCTCTCACAGAACAGCTTTTTTCTTAGCCATTTTTCCTGCCTCAGAAAATGACACTACTTTCGGCCAGCAGCACAAGCTGGAGACCCAATTTTCTCATTCCACACATATAAATTCATCAGCAAATCCTGTCATCTCTACCCCTAGGGGTCCCAAACCTTGCTGCTTCTTACCACCAATGCTGATTCCTGGACGAAGGCTCCCAACACTGTCGGAATAGCTTCCCAAAATGTTTTTCCAGTCCACTCAGACCTTCCAAAGGTCCATTCTCTTCCCAAGTAGCCAGAGTGTTAAAAACACAAGTCAGGCTCAGTGCCTGTAGCTCAGTGAGTAGGGTGCCAGGCACATACACCTAGGCCGGCAGATTTGAGCCCAGCCCAGGTCTGCTAAACAACAATGACAACTGCAACCAAAAAATAGCCAGAGGTTGTGGCAGGCGCCTGTAGTCCCAGCTACTTGGGAGACTGAGGCAAAAGAATCACTTAAACCTAAGAGTTTGAGGTTGCTGTAAGCTATGACGTTCCAGCGCTCTACCAAGGGCCATATACTGAGACTTTGTCTCAAAAAAAAAAAAAAAAACCCACAAACCAGATATTTCAGTCTCTATTTAATGATCTCCAGAGTCTTGCCATTGTCCTTTGAAGAAAATCCAAAGTGTTCTCCAGGACCCTGTTTGAACTGGCGGCCACCTGCCGTTCAGCGTCATGCTTCAGTCACCACACTCGGGGACACCTCCCGGCCGCCTTTCTGTTCCACAGAAGACCCAAGCTTTTCTTGCCGGAGGCCTTTCCGCTTTTGTCTGGAACCCTCTTTCCTAGAACGTGGCAAGACCTCAGCTGCCCTATATGAAGAGCAAAACTTCTCTCCCCAAATCCTCTGACCCCTAATTTTCTCCGTGGTGTTCACCAGCTGGCCGTATTTATTGGGCTGGCTTTGTTCCTTCCCCTCCTCTCCTGTGAGTTGATTCCGGTTGGTCGCAGAGATTTGACTGGGAAGAATGAATGTAGCAGCGGCTCCTCCGACAGAGGTGACCACCCACATGGATGGTGGCAGGTGCATCAGGTGGCCACCCACATGGATGGTGGCAGGTGCGTCAGCCAACACTGACTCCTCAGCCTACTTGCGGGGTCAGACACATGCAGGAGCGGTTCTGCTTCCTACCATGTGGCCATTCCATCACAGGGATGTACCCTTTTTGTTGCTCAAGAGAAAACCGAAAACGGTGTTTGCTAAATGCTTGGCTACCATTGTTGACGCAGCAGCAAGAGTTAAATCAACAGCTCTCGGTGGGCCACCAGAAACCAGGACGTAAAAACAGGTGTGTAGAAGTCACCTGGAGAAGTATAGACGACTAGTTCAGTCCTGCCAGGTGCCCTCCTCTCACAAAAGTGTCTGTGGTTTCTAGGGTCAAGTACTGAATAGTTAGAGAGGCAAGAAGGAGGAAGAGAGGGCTGTGCAGAGGAAGTCCAGCTCTGAATTTGTCTCCGTCCTCCTTCCAAAGCCACCCACGGCCATGTGAAAGCTGTCTGTCTGTTTTCACAAATCACTTGGCTTGGGTTGTACTATTCTGCCTAAAGACTCAGATGAGCAGTGGACTCTTCGCACACTATCCCTGGCTCTGGAATGGTCAAAGCCAAGTTTGCTGAATCCAGAGACAAGACCCAGGACACAAGACCACGGGAAGTCTCTCAGAGGCCGGGGTGAAGAAGTTAAGGTAGAATGTTTCTACAGAAAAGGTAGACCAGCCCTCCACCATGCTCAGGATAAACTGCTTAACTCCGGAGTCACCTGGCAGCTTGGAGCTGCCTCCCAGGTACCTGAGGGCTTCCCTGGAAGGTGACATTGGCTGTTAATGTCACAGAGGTGTCACTGTCATACTGTTCCCTGTGTATTTCTGTTATGGGGGCTCCTATCCTGGGAACAAACTTCTGCCTCACTAGGGCTTCTCGTGTCAGGGAATTTATGCAAAAAGAAGGAGTATTCCCCCCACCCTATAACCTGGTGGCATCTAACGACCCCCTGTGACCTGGTGGCATCTAACGACCCCCTGTGGCATCTAACGACCCCCTGTAACCTGGTGGCATCTAACGACCCCCTGTGGCCTGGTGGCATCTAACGACCCCCTGTGACCTGGTGGCATCTAA